CTGGAATCATTTCCTATAGGTATTATTATATAATACTCAGTAAGGTCATTTGAAGCTTGTATTATAAATCTGTTAAAATAAGAAGCTCTAATCTTATAAAAATTTTCATTTTCTGTAATTGTCACAGTAGGATAGCTGGACAAGACTAATCTGATGGAGGAGCTATTACATTTTTCATCACACTGAAGCACAGCACAGCGCTCATCTCAAAATATTACTAGCTTTCAGTTGTTGTTAGCATCATTTGGCTTGTAATGAGTTAGGAGAGGCTGGAAAGTAAGAAAATGTCAGTAGCACAGTAAGAATTGAAAGTCTCCTGTTCATAATTGAAATTGTTTTGTTATTCAATTATATATTCTTACAGCTAATTGTGTTATACGTCAAAACTCTGCATGCATTTCTTTCTTAATGTTATAAACATAGTAATCATTTAGGAAAATAATTGTTTTCTTATAGAAATTAAGAATAGGTAGTAAAAGTGCTGACTGAATTCATACTAGTGTCAAAACTCAAATTCAGTTCAAAGGGGCTTCAGTGTTTTCACCTACGTATTTGAAATACACAGAATTTGAATTCCGAATGCTTGCTCACAGATAAAACCCTTCTTCATCCAAGTTTTGAAAAGTACAGTATCTCCCTGTGGTTTTATCCTGCAAGGGAATACCAGGGCTCTCCTCCTGACATTTTATAAGGGCCATGAACACATTGCCTTCCTACCAAGGATCTGGCTACATGGGCTTAGTGCCAGCTCTGATAATGCAGAAGCCCAGTTTTATCAGAACTATTTGATAAAATCTGTGAGAAACCTCAGGAGCTGTTTGTCTCTTTTTTGTTCTTTCTGGTTTGTTTTTTTCTTTGTTTTTTGTTTTTGTTTTCTGTTTGGTTTGTTTGTTTGTTTGTTTTTGGTTTCTTTTTTTTTTTTTCCTATCAAGGTTGCTGGGGAATAGCTCTTGGTCTCTGCTCAGGCCAACTGGGTGCACCTGCACTGAGCCTTGTACCTTCCTAGTTCTCATTTGCTGACCTGACTTTTTGGCTTGACCTTGAACCTACATCACCATTGTGGACATGGCTTAGTAATCCAAAGTGGTGTGTAGACAGGATCTGCTCTGTTCTAGTGCTGGTTCTGTGGAATTGCAAACCTTACTGACAGGAACCGGCTCCTGTCTGACTTGCTGTGATTCTGAACTCACTGTTCACCTTCCCTTCTCTTGCTGCTTTCTGACCTGCATCAGGTCTTTTTCATTAGGATATGGAGTCTGATCTATTCCACAGAAACTTTTCAAATTGAGTCAAGACTGCTATGGAAAGATCCTGTGACTCAGTGCTCTCACTATTTTTTTCCACACACTATTTTATTCACATCCTGATTTTATTTCTTGAATACTATGATAGATACAACACTTAACATCTTAATAAACTGTTGAAATCTCATTAAAGCATCAGGTAAACTATTTTCTAAGATGTTAATGATGCTAACTCAGATTTAATAATTCTTTGGTGTTGTGTCTCTTTCATTATTTGTATAAGAGACAAACGATGGTAGCTTAAAAGACATTGACTTCTGCTTCTTAAAGCTACTCATCTGAAATCAATTTGCAATGCAATGCAAGAATAATTTCAAAATCATTTAACTATGAGCTCAGACATGCCCCAGAGTTAGCATCCATGGAGATTTTTTAAAACAAGAATCTGGCTTCAAAGTAGAATTAGCTGTCTCTATGATACTGTTTCTTCCAACAAAAGGCCAATGGGGCAGTGAGAAGAACAAGAAAAGAGGCAGTAACTTAACCAAGCATGATTCCTAGTCTCTGCTAATATGGTTATCTAAATAAACATAGAGGCAATCTATTTTGCATTTCTGCACCTTCTTATTGATACCATTTTCCCCTTTCACAGATCTATATACAAAATGCATATACTGTACTCTGAAAGTAGAAAACTTAAAGAAAAAATTCCTGGCCAGTCCATGATGGTGTCATTCTAAGCCCATGCAAGTTGGAGAACTGTTGTAAGCCTCCTTGGCTCACAAATATGATCTTTGTGTGACTCTACAACCGCCTTGCTTTCAGCGTGACCCCTTGGAATCCAAGCAGGTAAAGGAATTTGTGTTTACCTTATTTCTTTAATGAAAACTCAGAGGAATATTCAGTCTTAGATATAACTATGATGTCAAACTCTGCCTTAGAAATGTTTACTTTCCTTGTGTGGTAGTGAATTACAGTTATTGCTTAGGCTCCATTATTCTTTTTTCCCTTAATTTCTCACCCTAATTTTTTACCTCTCTACCCACATTTTAATGTAGCACTGCACTTGGCCTGGCATTAATTAATAATTTTTTGTTTGTTTGTTTGTAGTCTGATGATAGCTTTTCTCCCAGTCCTCATAAGTAACAGTGAAAATATAATCAAGTGTTATCTGCTTAAATTCTTGTTTTCCTTATATATAATATATTGTTGTATTATTGATAAGTATGTTATTAATCTAAAACTATTATGAATTACAATTAATGATTTTTTATCTTTCTGTGATGTCTTTCAGAAATCAAATTAATAATTGAAAAGGCCAATATACATTTTGTTTCAGTCACTCCAATCTGAAAAACTTATAAATATGAAATGAAAAATGAATTATTGCAAAAAAGAAAAATCTGTTTCCTCTTGTAAAGTGAGCAAATCCAGAGTCCTTATTCATTAAAGTAGAATGCCCATACTTAGAAAATCCTTTTTTGCTTTAACCTCTACTGAACATAAAACTGAACAACTAGCTTCGTAGGCATAGTATTTAAACAGTCACTTTACTCAGCTTCACATCTGTTGGGCAAGAATTGAAAGTTTTTCCTCATAGGTTTCCATTAGAGTTCTCTCTCATACAGCTTTTAATGCTCATTAACAAAGGGCAGAAATGTTTCAGTGCTGTACAGTGTAAGAAAAGATATGTTATTTTTCCCATAGTGTTTGAAGAAGTCAAAAACTTAAGACTCGGTTGTTCATAGCAATTCCTGGCAGATCCATGTAGGCTGGGCGTTCTGTGCCTTAGAGTGGAATCGGTGTCCTAGTGTTCCCCGTTCTCTTTGCTCTGATGTACATCATCAGCTCATAGGGCTGAAATTGGAAGAGAACTGGAATTAAAAGCTTGGGAATGCTGTAGTCTTTAATGTTTTAAACTTTGTGTGTGTGTGCATGTGCATGCACGTATACACTTTTGCAATTGTAAAGCAATCTGTCTTGGGCATGGAGGAGACTCCTGTGGATCCTAAAGAACTGACTTGGGGTTCTCAAGTCCTATTGCGTGTCCAGCAATCCCTGTATTGAGAGACTGAGAAGTTTTCTGAAGTCTTTCTCAGACACTACATGAAAGAATCCGTATGCACAGGAACATTATTTGTCATTATGAGAAAACTTAAGAGCATGAGGTTATTTTAATACATAGGATTTCTGGACACTGAAGAAGATAATCTGAATTTATGCATAATAAGTTGCATGTATGCATTTTGAAACAAGTCACTCTTAGACCAAGATTATATGATGAAAAATACCTGTATGCTTTCCAAAACTTACTTATTCACATTCATAAAGGGAGTTTTTATTATTAATAATTTAAAAAAATATTAAGGATTGGTATGATTAAGGACTAATCATTCTACAGTAGAATGGTATTTAAATAATATAATGAGAAAAAATATTAATTATGACCATGTTGAAACAAAATTATGATAACAGTATTGTTTGCTTTGCCTACCCAGGGGCTTAGTTATCTACTTTGAACATTAAATTTTCAGTGCAGCTGGAAAAGTTAAACTATCATATACATGTATTTACTGTTTCCTCCCAATGTCAATTAATCCCATCCCATGTGACCCAATTTCTTAAAATCTCTTGCTCTATGCAAAATCTCATTCGTGCACACACACACACACACACACACAATATTATATTATTATATTTATATTATGCATGTTCACACAAAACAGATAATTGAGAATCTGTGAGGCACTACACACTACATTTAAATTTTTAGTTATAAACCCCTTTAATCTAAAATTCACAAATTCTCTTTGGACAACCCCTTTTCAAATTTAAGTTTCTCTATTTATTTTTGTAAAATAAGAACACGGTATGTAAAAACAATCTATCAGTGCCATAAGATATGCCATGATTCTATTTATTTTTATCCAGCACTACAGCTGTTTGTTGATAACAAGCACAATTAACTCACCATCAGCACTAAGTCTGTGATAACACGTCTGCTTCTTTGTATGCAGGATTTTGCTAAGATTCCCTTCACTTTTTGAGTCAATGGAGGACTCAAATTTATTGTAGCCTGCTATCACCACACTTCCAGAACTATGTATCAAAAGAAAATGTCCACTGATATCATAACATTAGTTTAGCGAGTGAAAGTGTGCTGGGCAGAAAGTGGAGAAAAGCCTTATGAACCTAAATCTTTGACATGACTTGCAACTAATGGATAGATCATTATCGTTTGTAATACACATCCAAGATTGTCAGTGTCGTAGAGCAAGTGCCTTCCGTCTTGAGTGAAATCCCATAGATCACGTTCTCTACTTTCACTTCTATTTCTGGATAGGACTTTTTTTTGACCTAGAGCAGACCCTGAATTTCTTCTTACTAAGAAAGAACTGGTAGCAATAGATCGCATCTATATGTTTACATCCCTGATCACCTATAACTTCTATGCATGGACAATTTGCACGTGTAGAATTTTCAGAATCAATAGCGCTACAGTTCCTGCTAAACATAGTGATAAAATTCCTGGGTGAAACAGGGAGACTCTACCTGTGAACAGGCAACGGAAATACGGAGCCCTTGTTTTCCCCAACGCTAATGAAATTCAATGCAGTGCAATACTATTCGCGAGACACAGACCCCATGCACGTAGTTCCGTGCCCAGAGTGCAGCTGTTGCCGCTAGTAGTGGTGAAGAGAGACACCGACAAGCATTCCGCCGCGAGCGAAAAGCGACCCAGAGAAAGACGCTCACCTGAGTAGCACCGCAGCTTCCCACAAATAGAAGCCCGAGACGGCGGCGCGGAGGTACCTCAGCCGTGTCATGCTGCTCGGAGCCGCCGAGGAGCCCTGGAGCGCCCGTGTCCGCGGCATCGACGCGACGAGTTCGGCCGCGGCGGGCGGCGCTCCGGGACCCTGGAGAGCTCCGGCGGCTCCGCGCCCGCCGCCCGTCTAGCGCCCGGCTGCGCCCCGCGCCCTCCCGCTGTGCCCCGCCGCTCCGTCCCCGCCGCTCCGCATGGCAGCCGAGCAGGAGCCTAATCCCAGGAGTGGCGGTGGCGCCGAACCGCGGCGGCGGCGGGAGCCCACCTCCCCGTCCGCCTGCCCCCAGCGCCTGCCAACAGCCGGCGCCCCGCCGCCGGCCGCATCCCGGGTGCGTGCGGCCCCGCGGACCCGGCGGCGGTGGGGCGGGCGGGAGCTGGGTGAGGGCCGGCCCTCGTCTTCCCCCCCCTCCGAGCGCGCCGCCTCCCCGGAAGCCAAATGGGAAGGAGCGGGCACGGCGGCGGGGAGGGAACCCCGGGGGGTCTGGCTGGAAGGGGAGATGGTCTGGTCTCGCCGTAGGCTACGGACTGTGCTCGGAACAGCCCCTGCCCCATTGCGCTCCCTCCTGTGGGTTGTGGGGTGCCTTCTGCACGCGGGTGCTGGGGGTATTCACAGAGTCTTGGGTCCGTGAAAGGGCTGGGGAATGGCGTGTGTGTGGTGGGTACTCTGCTTTGCCTGCTGAGCTGTTGGCATGCTTGTTCTTATGAAATTAATGGGGGAAAGCCTTTCGTATTTCAGACTCATTTATTTTGCAACTGCAGTGCCGATGGAATTTGGAAAAGTATTATTCCAATCGTTAGTGAAAAGAGATCAGGTAACATATAGCAGTCTAATAGTCAAATCCTAACAAATTCAGTTTTTAAAGCCAGGAGCTGCTTGCGTTAAAAAAGAATAAAGATTTATAAGCTCATACTGATAAATACTGAGAAAATCTGTATGATTTGTCCATGAGGGAAGATAAAAAATGTATGAGGAAGGCTATACCTGTAGGGGGACAGATAAGGAAAGTATGCTTGAGAGTGTAGACTGGGAATACTCTGAGAGGTTTTTTAATAAGGAACTTTTGAAGACCTACACATAACATTGAAGGACCATTGGAAGAAAAAATCTGGGAGCAGAGGGACAGCTCTCTGCACATGTATAATGTACAAATGTATATGGCTGGACATAATCTCTCTGTCTGCTTAAATGTAATCCACTGGCTTGCTTTTTCCTGTAGTCACTGATTAATAACTGGACAGCAGCCCAACTACTTGTGCAGCTCTACTACCTACACAGATTCATAGGCAATCACATGATGGTCTTAGGCCAGAGTTTTACTTACACCATGAGAAAGCCACAGGAAGTTCAAGTGCTGAAGAAGTGAGGTGATGTAGAAAAAAAAGCAAAGGTTCAGCAAGATTAGACACAAGAAGTAGGGTAGAAGAAAAAACTGAAATTTGATGGAAATATAATAAACTCATTACAGAAGATGAAAATAAATACAAAGTGAAATATAGAAGAATATTTTTACATAGAATAGGAAAAAAAACCATAAAAAGATGGACTAAAGGTCGTGAAGTGAAATAAGAAATGAATAAGTATTTTGTTTGCTTGGGTGGGGGATTTGCATTCCTTTTATCTAAGGTTAGAGTGTCTGCTAGATACAGATATTTCTCATCGGAAATCTTTACAGAGGAATATTGTCTGTTGTCTATTCTGCTTCAGAAAAAAATCCTTGAAGTAGTTTTCAATTCAGATCTCAATTTAGGTTTTCTATTTTCCCTATATCTTTAGTTTTCCTTCTTCAAAGCTATTCAAACAGACATCAGTAAATTATGGCTCTTATTTCCTTTTTAGATTTAGTTTGGCTTTATTTGTTGATACCAATCAAGTGCATCTAAGGAAGATAATAGAATTTCTCCTATCAATTTTCTTTGTTTTCAGAGCTTTTTTTTTTTTTTTTTTTTTTTTTTTTAAGTAGTGGTTACATACTCTTTGTATTCAGTACTCTAAGTTTCTAGATCTACTTTGCAAAAAGTTTTTCTTTTTGTTCCTGGTCTTACTCTGGCATTGATGACAATGGTCCTGAAAAGAAGCTGTTCAAACCTTTAACAGTGGCGATCAAAATAAAGAATGCCTCTACTTGCTCAAACACATTCTTGTCAAAGTATGCATTCTACAGAATCAGTGTACTTTGTGTGTTCAGAACAGTTGACTCTTTTTCTTTCCCTTTTGATAGATATTTAGCGAGGTTGTTCCTTAAGGCTGTTTGTGCATTGTGTACTTCAACAGTGAATTGATTTTACATTTCAGTCATTTGCACTGAGGCAAGAGGCCTTTACTGGTGATGCAAGTAGTTCTATGTTACCCACATGAATACTCCTGTTCTCCAACAGGAGCAGTTCTATGAATTATAAATACAGGCCATCCTTTAGATATGTCAAGTTCAAACTTCTTGAAATCTCTGTGGGAAAAACACATGCTTGTGCTGTAAGTAGCAACTTTTCTGTTGCATCATTTCGTTCTACAAAATTCAAATATGGTCTTCAAACTTTAGAAAATTACCATGTAAGTAGTGCTGGATAATAAAATTCTCACTTCTTTGTGTATTGAAACACTCCTCCAATAACTTATTAAATGTTCCAGTTCAACAAACACTCAAGTGCATACCATTGACTTCAGTGAGATTAGTGAGTCTAGTAGCATATTCTGTATTTAATCATAAGCTTTGATAAAATATTACCTGATTATTTTAAGTGTTTTAACTCACTGTTGTTTTAAAGACCATCTTTTTATTTCTTCCATATTACTACTGGAAAATTTGACTACCATTATACAAAGCAGAATACATGGCTGTGTCCAATGTAGAAGATAGTAATGGTATTTCTAGATACTTCTGTTAGATATTGCATACTCAAAGATTTGAACACTCATTTTAAAAATAATGTGACCGTGATATTACCCTATGTCCAATGCTAATATTATTTATTTCTAGATGCCTCATATATCTGGATAACAACATCATAAAATATTGTTCTTCATTCATAACAATTTATCTGGTGCATATGTGCCATATATTTATAAAACTGAGCTCTGTAATTTACTTTTAGTAGCACTGGAAGTTGATTAAGTACGTTCTTTATAAATGGAAAACACTAGTATGTCAAAATGAAAAATTATCACCAAAATATGTTAGTTCACATCAAGCTGTGATTCTCATCACAATCGGCAACATGTATAGTGGCTACTCTTTCTCTATTGCAAAGTATTCAGGTATGTTTAAAAGAGAAACATTTGTATTTATGAGCTTGAGATTTCTTCAGAAATGGTAGCCTAGAAGTCAATGATGGTTTAATGTTGCTGGATGTACACAAACCTGGTGTGTATTATTACAGCAGATCATTTGGTGGTGGTGGGTTTGTTTTTTTGTTTTGATTTGGTTTTGTTTTTTTTTTGCCTAGAAGGTGGGGATACTTGAAAAACTTTTTGTATGTGTATCTAACAAGACATAATTATTGGTCAATTTTGTAGAATAACTTGCTTTAATAACATGCAGTTTATACAACTGAATGCAAGATCATGCTGCTATTCAACAATAATCATACCGAGAAGTTAATGTGCAGATATGGATTAAGGGATTACTGAATGTACTTTTTTTGGTGTGACAAAGTCATTGTAGAAAATAGGATAAGACAAATTAGTTGTAGCAGTATTCATCTGAAATTGTTATTATCATTGGATTATGTCCATTCCTGGAATATGTTATAGTTCATAATGTTTAAATAATCACTCTGTAAGAAGGATGCTAATGAACTCAAAAGGATTCTGAAAAGAGCTAAAAGAATACTACAATTTGGAATAGATTTCTTACATAAAATTAAAGCAGTTCAGCCTGTTTAAATCAGAAAGGTTGAGATGCACTTTATATACCTGTATGAAAGATTGTGAGGTTAAGGTAATTCTTTAAGCAAGTAGAGATGACAAATTAGCCAGACTTGAAACTGACAATATGAATTCAGAATAATAATTTAAGAAATATTACTTTGGAGAAAATAAAAGCTTGAAACAGCTAAAGAGGGAGCAGAGCTGATCACTAAGGTCTTTAAATCCAGGTCAACTGTAAGTTCTGGATTTGATCCAGAAGCCACTGGGTAAAATTTGATGAGTCTTGTGATTCAGTAGCTCAAACCACATGATGTTTGCAGTGTTAAAACATGACTATAAAACCACAATGTTTTGTCATGATATATTCAGCTAAAAAGTTAAAGATACTTATGTTCTTAGAAAAGTGATAAATCAACCTTTGAACATTGAATTGCTTCTGAAGTGGCAATGCTGGAAGAGAAATACATCATAATGGTAAAGTATACAGTTCTTGTGTGCAGTCTTTACCACACTTGTATTGCCAGTTTGTACATTCCAACATTTTAAGAAGGTGTTATGATGGGATATGACATCACTGTTGTTTTAGATCCTGGTTTTACAGAGACATGTTTGATTATGTTAATTAATCTGGCTTCCTCAGTACACAGGATTCCCCAGGATGTAACTCATTCAACTGTGAAACCCCAGAGGCTTTAAGCTATTATTAAACATAAAACTACAAATAGAGCAGTGTTTGTTGTTGTTGTGTTTCTGAGAATCACAACCTTAAAATAGAAAGGACAGCCTTAAACTACTGTAGTAATTGTCACTAAAAAGAAAAATATTTATTTGCTCTACCTCAGTAAGTATCTAAATACCTAGCAACACATTCTACTCTCTGAAAATAAAGTGAAGAGTCAATATAGGAGTAATTCCCAGTTTTCTCTGTTAGAAGTATAGGTGCTCACCACAAAAATGAAACATAACATTCTTCAAGATGTCTTAGCTCAAGAGTCAGTCTTGGGCTAACAAAAATGAGCAAAATTTTTGTCTGTTTTGCTTAACTGTTGGCTGCTGCATTTATATTCTTCATACGTGCAAAGAAATTGTTACTTAATTGAATCATTATATTAATTAATTTAAATAATCAAAGATAAGTTCAGATAAGTTTTCCTCTCAAACACTTATGCACATATTAAGCATTAATTCTCTTGTGCAAATGGAATTGCCCAGATCCATTGACAACTGATGTTCCTCTGTCCACGATGTTCTTTAGATCTGTGCTAAATGAATCAAGAATCAAATATCTGATGGGATAACAATAGTAACAGAAATTAAAATGCTAATAAATGATCTATATTTTATTTTCACTATTAGAGCTCATCTTCTGTTAATGAGTGGTATATTTTAGGGTAATAATGTATAATCTATAAATATCAAATG